TTTTACAAGTTCTTAAACGGATGTCCTTATAAGGAGTTCCCTCTCTCTGGGGGTGATCCCCCACCATAAAAATTGTTGATATGCCTGATAATTCCGGGGATGAAGCGCAGAGACATCGCAGCTGTAGGATGGGCCGGGAGCAATGGAAGAATCGAAGCAGTGGGCGATCGACCAGAGCGCCGGAGGCGCTCTGGGAGATCGACCGTAGACTGTCTTATAACGACACGTGCCAAAAAATTTAAAAATTCTGTCACCCCCTATTCTCTCTTCCTTCTATCTCCTCCTCTTCTCTACTCTACTCTCTGTTCTCTTCTTTCTATCTTCTCCTACTCTCTACTACTCATTCTTCTATTTCTCTGTTCCCCCGTTCTCCATTTACTTTCTTAGTTCTCATATTGCCTTCACTTATATTTCAATTTCCCTTATATTTCGTTGCAATTCATATATGCAACCCAAATTACACCTGATATTTTTATATTTGAGAAAAATGCCTCCTATACCTGAGATTCGATCCGTGTCTGCTAGCATGCCAGCAGGTGCACGTCTCCACTCGACCACCGAGTGCTTTTATCGTTGTTATTTGTTTCTTCTATTTATGTTTCTACTTTTATCATGTTTTTAAAAACAACAACACAACTACTCGTATGTTGCACTCGCTCCACGCGCATAAGATTTATATGCAATATGACTTAAGACGTTAATACTGAAAACGACAAAGAGGATACCATAATAAAATATTCACATGAGATTATAATTTTTCATTGTGTTTTATTGACAATAATAATAATAGATACATTTCTTAAAAGTACAGTTTTAATATCTAATTAGATACTCCAAAAAAAAAATATTACAGTACTAACATTTTGAAGTACACCTGGCCGTAACCCGAGAACACCGCTCGCTTTTCCTTAACGTCTGATAAATTCATTCCGTCCATGAAACATCTTCACTAATTGTTTATTTTATCGAATGTTAATGTTGCAGTTACCTACGTGCACTTTCTCGGTTAAAATAATCCACATGGGGACAAACAGTGTTTATTTTTGCACAAATTAATATCATTACGCAAATAAAATCACTGCGGCGGACTTCATAGCCGACGTAAGGTATCCGACAGCGGACGGCAAAAAAGTGCGCACATTGTAAAACTACACAATTCTGACTTCCACGCGCGATAATTCATTAACTGCACGCCGTACTAGTCTGATAATTCTAAATGATATCTTTGCTGATCGATTCTAATTTAACTACCGACTTAAAATCACAAAAAACGCGCAAACTAGTTATGAAGATCGACTTGCGAACAAAACACGTGTGTAACAAACAACATCGCACGATTGTCTGAACAAGGAAAAGATATAGCAGGCTACGTGCACAAAGCAGATATGAATATGATAAGAATTGCAATACTCACAATTGAATGCGGGCACGGTTGTACACCGAGGTTACGTTCAACTCCTTGATATCTAAAAACAAACACAAATTAGATGCGCTGTGATTTGTGACTTTAAATCATTTTTAATTCGCTAAATTAACTAAAACTTTATAGCACCTAAATATAAAGATAACAAAAATAAGATATAATATGGTAATAATATATTACTTACTATGTAAATTCACCCTTTTATGCAAATTTTCGCGGGTTGCAGGTAGAATTCCGGCAACAAACAAATTCCACCCGACGGAGAATTTAATTCCGCATCTCTAGACACCGCGCTGAACTTCGTAAGCCGGCTAGATCGCGCGTAAACACGAAAAAATACAAATATTTCACGAGAAAGGGTGAAAAATTCACCCTTTTATGCAAATTTTCGCCGGTTGCAGGTCGAATTCCGGGAAGAAAAAAATTCCATCCGACGAAGAATTTAATTCCGCATCTCTACACACCGCGCTGAACTTCGTAAGCCGGCTAGATCGCGCATAAACACGAAAAAATACAAATATTTCACGAGAAAGGGTGAAAAATTCACCCTTTTATGCAAATTTTCGCCGGTTGCAAGTCGAATTCCGGGAAGAAAAAAATTCCATCCGACGAAGAATTTAATTCCGCATCTCTACACACCGCGCTGAACTTCGTAAGCCGGCTAGATCGCGCATAAATACGAAAAAATACAAATATTTCACGAGAAAGGGTGAAAAATTCACCCTTTTATGCAAATTTTCGCCGGTTGCAGGCCGAATTCGGGGAAGAAAAAAATTCCATCCGACGAAGAATTTAATTCAGCATCTCTACACACCGCGCTGAACTTCGTAAGCCGGCTAGATCGCGCATAAACACGAAAAAATACAAATATTTCACGAGAAAGGGTGAAAAATTCACCCTTTTATGCAAATTTTCGCCGGTTGCAAGTCGAATTCCGGGAAGAAAAAAATTCCATCCGACGAAGAATTTAATTCCGCATCTCTACACACCGCGCTGAACTTCGTAAGCCGGCTAGATCGCGCATAAACACGAAAAAATACAAATATTTCACGAGAAAGGGTGCAAAATACACCCTTTTATGCAAATTTTCGCCGGTTGCAGGTCGAATTCCGGGAAGAAACAGATTCCGTCCGACGAAGAATTTAATTCCGCGTCTCTAGACATCACGCTGAACTTCGTAAGCCGGTTAGATCGCGCATAAACACGAAAAAATACAAATATTTCACGAGAAAGGGTGAAAAATTCACCCTTTTATGCAAATTTTCGCCCGTTGCAGGTCGAATTCCGGCAAGAAACAAATTCCGTCCGACGAAGAATTTAATTCCGCATCTCTAGACACCGCGCTGAACTTAGTAAGCCGGCTAGATCGCGCGTAAACACGAAAAAATTCAAATATTTCATAAGAAAGGGTGAAAAATTCACCCTTTTATGCAAATTTTCGCGGGTTGCAAGTCGAATTCCAGCAAGAAAGAAATTCCATCAGACGAAGAATTTAATTCCGCATCTCTAGACACAGCGCTGAACTTAGTAAGCCGGCTAGATCGCGCATAAACACGAAAAAATACAAATATTTCACAAGAAAGGGTGAAAAATTCACCCTTTTATGCAAATTTTCGCGGGTTGCAAGTCGAATTCCAGCAAGAAACAAATTCCATCAGACGAAGAATTTAATTCCGCATCTCTAGACATCGCGCTGAACTTAGTAAGGTGCCTAGATCGCGCATAAACACGAAAAAATACAAATATTTCACGAAAAAGGGTGAAAAATTCACACTTTTATGCAAATTTTCGCGGGTTGCAGGTCGAATTCCGGGAAGAAACAAATTCCATCAGACGAAGAATTTAATTCCGCATTTCTAGGCACCGCGCTGAACTTAGTAAGCCGGCTAGATCGCGCGTAAACACGAAAAATACAAATATTTCACGAGAATGGGTGAAAAATTCACCATTTTATGCAAATTTTCGCGGGTTGCGGGTCGAATTCCGGGAAGAAACAAATTCCATCCGACGAAGAATTAAATTCCGCATCTCAAGACACCGCGCTGAACTTAGTAAGCCGTCTAGATCGCGCGTAAACACGAAAAATACAAATATTTCACGAGAAAGGGTAAAAAATGAACCCTGCGGGTTCCTACGGTGCCCTGAACACGAGTCACTTTTACCGCTAGCCTCGGAAGGTGCCCTTAATCGAGTCACTTCTACCGCTAACAAATACCACGCGATGGAGAATTTAATTCTGCATCTCTAGACGAGCACTAACTGCGCACGAATTGCATTTGGCACTTTAGCTGGGATCAAAACTAAATTAAGATGCAGCAACATGCGGCGTGAGGTGCTGGCAACGACGACACACGGCAATGCGATAAGAAAGTGTATATTGTGTTCAAATAAATACAATTCGTGTGTCGAAGGTTTACGCTTGCGGATAAATATAGAAATAAACAATACCAGTTTATTTTACAATTTTTAGTCCACGCTATGGCCATCTATAAATGATACAGTAGTTTCGAAATTTAGATTAGTAAAGGTAATAAAAAATTTAAATTCGATTTGCGAAATTCTGATTTCTTATGCTGACAGATTGCCAGATTTTACATTAAATATTTAAGTGATCATTAATTTGAACATGTATCGTTTCTAGTTTACCAGGTAACACATTAGTCCGTAATCATCTGCTAATAATAAAAATGTATTAGAATTAATATAAAATTGTTAGTTATATTCATGAAAGAATTGAAGAATATTTAAATTTACGATGCAAATATAATAAACAGCAACAGTGTGTTTTTGATTCCACGAAATAAAGATTCGATACCTGCAGGTAAACAAACTTATCTCTTGCGCGAAATCGCGTGATCCACACGGACACGGTGTGCACTCACTAACACCAACAAGCAATATTTAATGCAAAACCGTACATCGTAGCGCCATCTAACCTTTGAAAATATTTATCAACTTTAAAATATTAAAAACACATTTATCAAATATGCAACAAAATTGATATTGCAATGAAATTGAAAACAACGAAAGACATACACGAAACAAACCAGTATTTAATTTAAACGCGTAGAGCAAAGACAATAACCATTTACCTATATACTGACTAATTTCACTATTTACTTCTAATCATGAAAAATAAATAAATAATATTATTCAATGCAACACCTACCAGTGAAACGACGGTAAACTACAACTATTGTCCCCCGCAGTGTGCCGCAAGTACATGCCGTAGATGTTGGATTGTGACGGTTGAACGAATCCAATTTTCCAGAGGTAGAGCGCACTGCATCACGAATTCACAACACAAAAACCGATACGTGTGAAAACATTAAATTAATTTCTTATTAGCAATTTTGATGGACGCCGAACAAAAACAAACGAGAACCAAGAACAAACGAGGCTTGCAAGAGCAACGCGTGCGGACGCACCGGTGCGTTTGAGACGACTAGAACTCGCAGTAGATAAGAAGAAACTGGTTTTAAAATAATAGCGGCCTCGTCGGTTATAGTTATTACTAAATTTAAAAGCGGGAATGTTTAAAAATGTGGCTTGTACTTTCTTCATTGAGAACAAAGGGTTTTCAAATCAAATTCAATTTTAATGTTCTACAAAAAGAAAATATATTATTAAACAACACGTTTTGAATTCGTACCAATATCTTTCAGCAAATTTTTACATTTTATTATTCATCAATAAGTATAGCAAATATTTCTATGATCCTTGAAACCATAGAAGTCGTAATATTATTATTTTTTATATTTTATACAAAGGTTTTTTTTCTCATTTCATAATATATAAATTTGTAAACATATAAAAAATTAATACAAAAAAATATGAAAAGAAGTTATCTAAGAACGACCTACGCATTCTGATGTAAGGTAATCGCATTTCGTTTTCATTGAACAGGTATAAACCGAAACAACAAATGTGACATATTTACAAAATAGTTATTACACATTTACATCGTCTTCATTTAAATAACTACCGTCGTATTGCTGTCCTGCTGTTCAAGTTTGAGTGTGTGAATTAGGACCTGCTTAAATAAGGCCATTGCTTACACAATTTGTGCTTTAGGCCCATAGAGATTCGTTTCTTAACTTAATTTTGCCGACTGGGTCGACAAAAATGGACGGTTTTTAGACTACACAGAATTTCAATTGTTCACACTTCAGATTCAGTGTCTAACAACAAAATGAACACAAAATGACGTACACATTCATATCTTGCTGTAAGCACCTACCACTCGCACGCATTAAACGACAAAATCCTTAGCAAAGCCTTCAAATCACAAATGATATTCGTGTAGGCACTACGTTCGTTAGTTAAAAATAAAGTTTTGTACTAAAATTGATGTGCTAAGGATTTTGTTCGTAAGTCGCCAGTGACTTATCGCATTTGTTCGAGATTTCGTACCTAGTCATATCTTTGTTTCAAGCTGCATTCGTAGCTTAAGTTATTAAATTGTCTTAAATGGTTGCGTTGTAACTAAAGTGCACGTGGAAGTTAAGTCAGAGTCGTTAGCTGGTTCGTCCACGCGTAGCGTGCGACGACGACCGCCGCGGAAGAAAGAAGCAGCATCAGGGTAGGCAAGGGATTGATCACCATCGCTGCATTATAAATGTAACAGTACGGGCACTGTGAGCTGCCACACACCTCGCAGATATTCAGCAGATACGTGGTGAATGCGTCGAAGATAGTTTCGTTGAAGCGTTCGGGTGCGTAGTAATCGTAGACTTTGATTGGCAGGAAACGGGACATATTCGCCACTGGGTACCAGCGCTCGACTGTGAGATTTATGCAGGTTTCATGTTCATCCAACTGCAAAAAAAAATAAAGATTACTTTTCATTCTTTCTAAATTAACGAATATAGGTAGGTACTTACGTAGTCAAAGTAGAAGAGTACTTTACGTTCTAAGAACTTGGCCCTTTGCAGATTTCTGACTTTCCTGCTGAGAATATAGTCATCCAACTTCTGTTGCTGAATGATATACCCAGTGGGAATAGTAATATCTAAGACGGCCATACCAGACCGCTCCGATTCGTTGAAGTTCATCCATCGCTGACAACTCACATACGCAATATGTGAGTGATTTCTGCCGTAGAAGTCCGCCCTTGTCCAAAGATCAAATGCCCTTTGCGGCGGTGGTGTTTGGAATCTTGCGATATCCACATTATACTGTACGGACATTTGCAAAATTGCATAACCGGTACCCTTCGCTTGGACCTTAACAGTTCCCCAAGCATCCGGGATATGAATGCTTTGAAGTTGTGCGCGATTCTTTTGATTCACATGCATAACTTGCGTCTTTCCAGGCAGGGCAGTCGCTTCGACAATAACAGACAAACTAGAAATGTCTCGAATCCTCTGGGCGGAAGTATATTCAATTAAAGCCTTCATCGCATGCGCTGTATCAATAGTAGATGCCCATCCACCATCGGTCAAACGTTGAGTATTTAACCATCGTACAATGTTATCTACAAAGATCTCCTGCCTGGCGACATAGACCATCAAACCATACGCTGTTGCTTCAACATTTTCTGCATCATACTTGTAGGGGAGTCGCGGAAGGAGGAAAGGTTTCTGATTTTCAATTTTATAAGGCGGTTGTGGAAGGTGTTCACGTGACCAGTACATCAAGCCACCCTCCAATCTAGCATGTTTCGCAAGCAAATTAAACGCAGCTTCAGCATTGCGCGCTTTACTCTTCATCAACGCGTATGCCACGATAGCGATATCAAACGGTAAACCATGTGACTCAATCAATTTCATGTTCTTCTCCAACCAGTTTATCGCTCGCGATTGGGCAATTGCCACCTTGGCGCTCAAACCACCTTGCAGATCTTTCACACTCTCCAACATAATCAAAACATGAGCAGTTAGCGTAATATTACGTTGTCTGATCGGGTCCCGTTCTGAATAATTAATGGAATTGTTGTACTTCCGGTCGGGCATCCATGTTGTCTCATAGAAAGCACCCTCTTCTGTTTGATGCTGTAACACCCAGTTAACTGCCTTTGAAATAACCTGAGGATCAATATAAATGTAGTTTTCCCACTCGTAGAAACTAGCTTCCTGCAGAACTCTTGCGCAGTATGAAGTCAACCACACAGACGATTCAGATTGATTCCAATCGGTACGGAAAAGCGAGAAACTTCCATCTGGTTGCATGAAAGACAACTGCCTTTGATAACCAATGTTCATATGATAGAATGAACCGCGTTCCAGAGTACGATTACGTTGAATAGTGTAACGCATGTACAGAGTGGTGTACATGTTAGCCGCAAAGCCAAATATATTCTGTTCGGCGGATTCCATTGGAAGATGCAACAAAGACGTTGCGTTCATGGGCATTGTAGGGAAAATGGGCCCAACCACGTCACCCACTACAGATAACACAGCTTTGTTCGAGCCGTAGACATAGTAGCGATCGTATTCGTACGGAATGATTGGGATCTCCGTGACATTGACGTGCATGTACTGGAAGACGTACGCACGGTTGGACAAATCCAACAACATACTCTGGTGACGATGCTGAGGAATTCCATCAGCCTCGACATGAATCCGGCGAGTAATCTGATCCTTCCCGATCAACGAAGTTGCATGTACCGTGACATCAATGTCGCCAAGTCGTGTTGGTACTATTGGAAGATAAACAACGGAAACGTCCTGTGCTTTAATGTAAATGAAGAACTGGTGTTCACCGAATGATGTTCGTGGATTATAAGCAACCACTACACCATTTTCTTCTACATGTACAAACTTATAATCCGGGGACCCGTTTAACACCACGGTGGCTTCAATAGCGTTGGTCATGTAATTAAAAACGCTTACTCGCACACCGACCTGCTCACCCTGCATACAAGTTGTTGGCATCTCAACGTTAATGAAGAATGGTAATACTCCCAGATATTCCAACGGTTTGTTAATCATACCAAAACCTAATGATGGACTCATACTAAACGCAGATACCATCCAGTGGGCGGGACGAGGAGGAACGTCAACATTAAATATGAAACGGCCATGTGGACCAATATTACAATCATGCCACAACCAAACGTTTTCATACTGACGTTGAATGCGGTTGAATCTGTACTTTCGGAAGAAAGCCAAACCACTTTCGTCTTCATACTCACAACCAGCTTCATCAGTACCATCATCACAGTCAATTAATCTGTCACATTTTCGACTAGCAGGGTAACACTTCCCACTGAGACATTCCATCATGCCAAGAGAGGCGTTACAGTAGCTATGAAGTCGTGGTACTTCAATATCAGAAAATACGACGAGTCCAGCAAATTCAAACGTACGATTTGCGTCGATTCCAAACGTAGACGAAGGGAAGTAGACTAATTCATCAGGATTTCCCTCATGTGACACCCAGGTCTGCTCCAGAGTGCCGTTGGTGTTCTCATCAAACGACGCCATCTTTTTAATTACCTGTTAAAATATAAATACAAAATCAACTTGTTTGAGATCTTTGTCTACATAATGTGCGCAATAAGTGAAAACAACTTTACTTCTACTCTATTGTTTCACTCACCAAATACTTCACATTCAAATTATACCAATTGAGAAGAAAATTTAATATTAACATCAAATAATTTACTTAAAAGTTGAGCTTACCTTTGCATAAGTGAGCTCATTACCGGCCTGCATGCTGTAGAAAGCCTTGTCAATACCAGACAAAGAAACACTGGAGCCAGGTTCGCCATAAATTGCAACTTCAACTTTATGACCAGTACGCGCTTTACGATTATTAACAAAAACGGTAAACTTATTGCGACTAATGCCGTTTACAGGGAAAGTCAGACTATCAGCCGTTACATCCCCGTATTTCCCGACATGCCACACGACAACAGAAGCCACTGGTGCCATTTCCGCACTGAGAGTAATCGCCATAGTCGCTACAGAATCTTCCATCACTTCATCGCCCGTCAATAGAACAATTCCTTTCGCCATGATGAGATAATTAAACCGTTCGATGTAATAGTTACTGCGTACGTGCAAGATTATATATTCGCCAACCTTTGGTGTCATGGTGCTAGTATAAACCTTAAGATGTTTGTTCTCTGGGCTGTAATGGGAATACAACAACAAATCTGTCTCTGCTCGTCCACCCAGAGAGTCCTTGAAGTAAGCCATGATGCGTAATTCGCTCACATCATTCAGTTGTTCATAACTACGAGCGTCCTCAACATCTAAATCGTATTTCAAGTCGATGTCATAACGCCAAATGCCTTCGTCTTCGGACATTTTCAAAGCCCGAATGGGTAATTCACGGCGAGCGCCACCACGTATTGTTACAGTAGTGCGCACTTCCATGAGACTGTCCAGGAGGCGTTTCTTATGTAGCGGCGAACCATCATGGAAAGACGCGGAAATCTGCACAAGAAATAAAAATTAATCCAAATTTATAGTTTCCACAATGAATATTAACTTACATAAGTTGTAATAGGCATGCCCTGCTTAAACACTTGCGGAGAATCACCCAAGAACCGCAATTTAATTGATGAATTAAATACACGAGCAATCGAATGTCCTTCGATGACTTCATCCAGGAAGCGATCACCAACTGTGGCGGTAATCACAATTTCTGTGCCCTCCAGACTCGGCACGTGATGCAAAAGATCCCTGATAGGGTATTTAAAGTTGTAAACGCCGTAGAACTACAAAATATTCATTAATGACCCAAACAAAACAACAAATTTCCAAAATTATTGTGCTAGGAAGCGAATAAACAGAAAGGACACTTACAAATTGTAAAGTGGGAACACTCTGATAATAGTGATCAGCTAGATTATACCAAAACGGATATTCTTCATCCTACAAACATATAAACAAATAAAAACTGTGCTATGATCATCACAAGGAAAAAATACTCACAAAACTAAAATATTTCTCCACACTCGGTCGGTTATAATCATTCCGCTGATCATACTCATTATAAATCCTATTACCAAAGAGATCATCAGGTCGGGGACGATGCAACTTCCTCTGAACTTCCTCAATCCTTCGCTGTAAGTTAATCGGACGGATGGACGCCTTAAGCGTAAGATTTCCACGCACCGGTGCGCCACTTGTATAATTCGCCATGATAGTCCCATGAATAAACTCCTCATCGTTGAAAAAGAACGCCGGCATGGTAACATTAACTTCAAAACGCGTCTGATAATATTCCTCCACCAAAAACTTAGACAACTCTTCCTGTCCCTGTGCGACTACCTTAATCACCCATTCACCAAACACAGGTTGATCAGACAGTTGATAATCTAAACTAACAGTACCCAAATTGGTTTGTCTTGAAAGCCAACGTTTCATTATATGTCCATTTGGGTCCAACATATAAACATCAATAGCGCTATCAAACGCCTTCAACTCAGTATTGATGGGAACTGTTCGGAATCTCACTGTTTGACCCTGCATGTAAACAGGTTTATCTGTTTGAATGAAGATGGTCATCGAGCGCTGTGAGAAAAGCAACTTGGTTTCATTGCTAAACGCAGAACCGCCGAAGATATTTTCGTAGAGACCTTCAACCCGAAGTTTGTATTCACCGGGAGCTGACGTTGTGGGCACCTAAACGAAAATTAATCATTTTTTAAACACCTATTTAATAAAAGCAATAAAATCATTGGCTTACCCTCATGAGGAGTGTTTCCGGTATGCCGACTTTAACATCCTTGTGATCAGCAGACATTTCAACCCCATTGCGTTGGATAGAAGCTCTAACCGTCAACGGCGCTTTTTCTTTGAGAATTGTCACAGCAACCCGGTATAATTGTCCAGGACGTACCATTCGAGATGCAACCACGAAATAACTCGCTTCCCTGATGATGGACGAGTATCCATACTCATTACGGTTATCCTGGTCAAACGGACGGTTGTATCCATATCGATCATCTAGTCCAAAATCACGATCCCGATCTCTATCTCTATCCCTATCTTGGTCGCGGTTGAAGTCTCTATCTCTATCCCGATCGAAGAGGTCATTCCGCCCACCACCAACTCCTCGATTACCGAAGGGATCATTATTGGTATTGTAGGACGGATCAAAATCCCGCTGATTATTTATAGGACGCACGGTGCTAAATGGCGGCGGACGATTTGGTGTATTGGGGAAAGGATCAGGCGTCACCTGAGCGTTGACCACGTGTAGAAGGACGCAAAACGCGATGTGACACGTGGTTGGCATCGTCCATCGCAATACTCTAAGCTGCATTTCTGAAAAAGCAAACAACAGAGACTTAAACAAACAGAAAGGTGCGTATTTTGTTTGATGTGGATAATTACAGGGCTATTGTTAGCATAGGCTTAAAAGAATGCCGGGAGCGTCGCATGCGTGAACACGCTAAGCGTCGAACGCTTAATTAAGACCAACTCGTGCAGGCCACTTAAATTTAAATCCAGTATTGTCTCGGCGCATCTATACATCACTCCATATTACAAAAGGTGCAAGAAAAGAAATTTCAGCTCTTCAAATCATGAATAAACATTAATTTTACGATTCGCCCGAGGGTACAAGTGTCAAACAAGTTTGTTCTTAGATAACAATTTAATTATTTTTACTTCCAGCCGCAAATTAATTCCGTAACATCTGCCTAGCGAGTGATATTAATACACAACGCACATTTATTTCAATTTAAAATTATGATGCCCAGAGAAAGGTCAATGCCTTTGTGGGATGTTTAAATTCGCCACAATTTGTGACGTGTCACTTGTGACACAAAGTGGACTAATTTTTATTAAATATCGCCCCTAAGTTTTCGGCTGCGAGTGTAATGAAATCAGATTTGTAAAATCTGGCGCACAAGTTCGTCATCATCGACGAAGCGCGTCGGGGGTTAAAAAATTGGATGAGAGGGTGCTGCTGAAACGAGGGGGTGTTTATCCCTCCTTCGAGGAGTCATCCTACGTACTATCTGGTCGAATAAATGCATTCAATGTGTAGACCCTAGCAAAGTTCGCCCTAGTTCATCCGAGTTTAGTCATTCATTCATTCAAATCGGGATAGTATCAAAGCAAAGAGAAAAGGAAACTTTCAGCGACTTGGATGTAACAACAAAGTTTCACCAGGGTTAGAACAACCTAAAAGTTTTCTTCCTCAAACACAAACTCGTATATTTTATTGAGAAAATATAATTACGGTCCTGTGCGTTTTGCAATCCTTTCCTCGCACGTGCAACGGATGCAGGAAGTCGTATAGGGATTAGTAGCTCCCCACAAACAGAAGAAGTTCAAGTTCAACCCTGCAGTATCATAATAATCATAAGACGCACGAGAAAGTAAATAAAACCAGCCCTATTCATTTCTTACATGCTTTGTATGCACTTTTTTATTCATTTAATGCGATGTTTTATTTGTATTTTAAGACTTTTCGACGTTAGTTTATTGTCGCTTTGTTTTACAACCTGAATAAAACCCAAACGGAAGAAGGAAAATAAAAAAGCACACAACAAAAGTTAATGGCAATGTCAAAACAACCTCAAAGCCAAGGAGTGGCAGGAAATTTAACAATGCTCTCTCCACAATAATACACAATAAGTTCACTTGCATGAGAAATGCCGTTGCGAAACGCAAAAATTTCAATTTCCCGACTGTTCCCACAAAATTCTCCGACTCGATGAATCGGAAATTGGTGTCTGCTAAGAGTTCCATTAACTCTTGACGAAAGAAACACAAAAGAACGAATGAAAAGTGAGCGAAACGCATGTAAAAGTCGGGAGTCGACTTCAGACTAAAAAATGACTATTCGCATGTGCTTTCAAGATGCTTTCAGAATTTAGAAGCATTTCCCCTTTTAAAATGTTCATTTTTACAGTTTATTATATAATTACGATAACAATACAACTTTTTACGATGGAAAAATGCTTGAATCGAAGTCCCTTTGAATTTCTCCACCCTTATCATTTGTGCAGCGAAAAGAAAATAAGATTAAACATCCCCCAGCCCTTTTTCTTCCTGTTCATGCATTTTTTTACATTAATTGACTCACGGTAGCGTTTGTTTACGTGTGCTACTCGTGTTTATTCTTGTTACAACTGTAATTTATAGTTGAGATGAAACACGAGCGACTCCCGAAGAAAAAACAAACGAGGGTGGTGTTATTTGGGGTGCGATCACAAGTTAGCGTTTCCTGTGCGCAGTTACGTAAGATAACAAACAAGACAAACTCCCCCGAAAATACTATTTTCTATTAGCAGACGGTCGATTTCCTCGAAGAGTTTTTAAGAAAACACGCCGCAATTTACTTTTAGATATTTTTCATGCATTCATACGTTACCATGACAACTAGACACAAACATAACGCACAACAAGTTGTTTTTCACTTAGATAATAACGATTGGAATATGCAGATACCTAATAGGGTGTCCGTTATTTCCCAAAATGGATTTTATTTTTCAGACGCCCCCCAAACTTTTAGATTTTGACCTAAAAAAAAATATGAGACTCATTTCAGCCCTTAAAGTTGATATTAAACCGTGCCTAAATCATAATCCTTTTCCCATTTGAATAACATGGGATTTTCGCACTTTTTACAGTTATTGTTTTTTTATCGAAACAAATATAGCTAAAAATACCGCTGGAACATATTTTGTCGGAAATTTTACGCTCTACAAAAAAGGTCTGAATACTTTTTTCGATAAAATCAACCCTGTAAAAATTATTCAAAGATTAAGTCGCGTTGTCGATACGCGATTATTGTAACGTAAACTCTAGTTTCGATCAATTGATTATAGGTGGCGCAGTTAGAATTTGCTGTAAATGAGATTATAAACTATGTGTATAACTTTAATCGCAAATAACTTTTACAGGAATGTTTTTAAGCAAAAAACCAAAGAGATCATTTTTGTAGAGGGTAAAATTTTGCATTAGAATATGTCTTTGTCGAAGCTGTAGGTTTATTTACTTTGGAGATAAAAAATTAAATGCAAAACGTCAGGAAATCCCATGTTATTTAAATGAGAAAAGGATTATGATTTAGGCACGGTTTAATATCAATTTTAAGGGCTGAAATGGGTCTCATATTTTTTTTTAGGTCAAAATCTAAAAGTTTGGGGGGCGTCTGAAAAATAAAATCCATTTTGGGAAATAACGGACACCCTAATACCTATACATATTTAATTTTATTCTTGTACACCATATAAATATAAATAATTCCCCACAACCCTCTTTAAAAGCTGTAACAGGAAGCTCCGAGCGAAATAATTTCAAGTTTTGAGTGAAAACAGTGAACATAAATTAGGAAGAGTCAGCACGTGGCGTCGACACGCATGAAAGTAAACAATAAACAATCCGATAATGTGGTAAACTCCAGTCAATTTTAGTTAACTTTGGTTTCAGAAACAATAAACACCTTTAAATGAGTAAAATTTAACTAAAACATCAAAAAACCTTTAAAAAAATCATTTATTCAAAATAATTTAATGTTTATTAGATGTTGAATAAGTTTTAGATATCCACCTTAATCATAGTGTAAGCATAAACGTGAATCTAAACTCAGAACACTAAATTAACGAAAATGGTTTCCTCGTAGTAGCCTGTGGTGCAATATCTATTAAATTTTAAAACTAAGAGTTAACCAACCAAACCAGTGTATGCATGTTTCGGGGCGCATCGACCGCATCCAATAAAAATGTCCTCAACACGCTTGAGTAATCGACATAAAGTCTAAACCCGAAAAAACTTGTTCTAAACTGTGTTCTAGGGACACATAACGTATTACACGCTTCAAAATTTTCCAACCTTGAGACTTTCGTTGAAGATCACTCGAGCAATAAATTACGAGTTTTTAATTTTTTAAATGTTACTCTAATTGAGTCAATGGCTGACCCGGAAGTGTTGAATTAATATGTTTTAGACATTTAAATTATGTCCGTGCGTGTGTCCGCATGATTGCGCTAGCCAAACATCTCACAATTGTTATCACATTGCATGCACAAGCCGACAAGCGTGTAATTGATCCATTGAGTTGCACAAGCATGAATTTTGATTTGTTTATTTATGAATGCCGCACTATTATATTTCCAATCGTCGGAATATGCACTATTTATCTAAATATTTATGTTTAAAAGCTAATACAGCGATAAAACAAGATAAATAATTAATTAAAATTGACCAAAGGCGTTAAACTGAAAAATTGTCACTTTGGAAGTGATTAAACTGTTTTAGTGCGTCTGAAAATCGTAAATCAAACGCGACGCGATACTGGAAGTGAGAAATGTTCGTCGGTTTGAAAAATAGAACGCAGGGAAATCGATTTCGAAGTTCGCTGCGTAATGTGTCGATGAGATATATAGATATATGAGTATGAGGATTTATTTGTTGGCAGCGTTCATCGGTTCCTAGCACCACCAACCTCAATTGCTAACTGACATTTATTCACTAATCAATAAACAGTCATATTTAATACTAGCTTTAACGCGTCTGTAGTCACAGAAGAAGTAACAATGAAGTAGAATGGCGGGAAGTTTAAAATGGCTGAAAGTATAGTCAATGGAAGTATAGTGTACATTCTCCATAGTGTAGTCAATTGGATTTGATGTTGACGTAGCTGTCGGTAATACAGTGTGATAATACAGTGTGATGGTACTATAGTACTTAGGTTTGAGCTTCATTGCTGGAAAGCTAGATGGCGTTAAAGTAGTCAAATAGCCAGATGCAGAGGTATTATGGGCTAAACAATTTCTTTATTTTATTTTAAAAATAATTTTTTTTATTAAATAAAAAGTAGCCTATAACCATTCGGGGACCACTAAGAATATGTGTACAAATTTTCATGATGATCGGTTAAGTAGTTTTTGCGTGAAAGTGTAACAAACATCAGGACTTTCGCATTTATAATATTAGTAGGGATAGGGATATACCTACATAGGTTAAAAATTGGGAGAGAATTGAAAACTAAAAACTAATTTTACTTAAACACAATATTAAATCTTCATTCAATGTTTTGCACTCTTACCATGTAAAGTACTATTTTTTCGTTCAGCACGTTTACATTTGCATACCTTTCGCCTTCTGCATGCAATCAGCCGTCTGCTGCAGAGTCTGCTCGGCTAAATTTAACAAAGCCAACAAAACCAGCACGACGTAATGGGATTAACAGCACAAGAGAGAGAATAGATGTGCCAGACGCGCCGAAAACGTTTTCAAAAACTCAATACACCACCAAACAAAACTATACTTTCCCATTACAATTATTAACAAAACTACAAAAAAAAAAA